CGAGGCCAGTGATTTCTTGAAATCAACTGATTTCTGGAAAGAAAAGAAAAATAGTTGTTCTATTCTGGTTCACCTTTATTCTTCACAGAACACCTGAACTAACAATATGACCCACACATGATTTGAGTGTGTTTAAAAAAGGTGGGGGGTGGGGGGGAGAGTTGTGCATATTCCTGGCCATGAATTGATGAGCATTTATTTTATCAAGTTTTTGCATGAGGTATTATATGAAAATATTTTTCCCCAAATTTGCAAATGAGTGTTTATGTTTTGTGAATTTACATTATACAATGATTGTAAAAGTAAGTATGCAAAGGATACTATTTTATTCCACTCTAACAGCTACTTGTTTTTCTTTCAGTGGGGACCATTCCCAATATAAATGGGGACTGGAAACTGCACAATGGTGACAGAGTTCATTATTTTGGGGTTGACAGAGAATGCTATAATTTGTACCATTTTGTTTGTTGTGTTTGTAGGAATTTATGTTGTCACCTTAGTGGGCAATGTCACCATAATCATGTTAATCAGAAGCAGCTCTCAACTACATACCCCAATGTACCTTTTCCTCTGCCATTTGGCCTTTGTAGACATTGGGTACTCCTCATCAGTCACACCTGTCATGCTCACAGGCTTCCTTAGGAAGGGAACTTTTATTCCTTTGGCTGGTTGTGTAGCTCAACTCTGTTCTGTGGTGACTTTTGGGACAGCTGAGTGCTTCCTGCTGGCTGCCATGGCCTACGATCGCTACGTGGCCATCTGCTGGCCCCTGCTCTACTCCACCCACATGTCCCCTGGAGTCTGCATGCTCTTAGTGGGGGCTTCCTACCTAGGTGGATGTGTGAATGCTTGGACATTTACTGGCTGTTTACTAAGTCTGTCTTTCTGTGGACCCAATAAAGTCAATCATTTTTTCTGTGACTATTCACCACTTTTGAAGCTTTCTTGTTCTCATGATTTTACTTCAGAAATAATTCCAGCCATCTCTTCAGGCTCCATCATTGTGGTCACTGTGTTTGTTATTGCCGTCTCTTATGTCTACATCCTTTTCTCAATCCTGAGGATGAGCTCCACCGAGGGGCGACACAAGGCCTTCTCCACCTGCACCTCCCACCTCACTGCGGTCACTCTGTTCTATGGGACCATTACCTTCATTTATGTGATGCCCAAGTCCACCTACTCCACTGACCAGAACAAGGTGGTGTCTGTGTTCTACACGGTGGTGATCCCCATGCTGAATCCCCTCATCTACAGTCTCAGAAACAAGGAGGTTAAAGAGGCTATGAGAAAATTGATGACGAGAACTCATTGGTAGTCCTCAAAAATTTGACTTGAAAAATAAATACAATATAATGAGGACCCCCTCTTGCAGGTGAAAGAACAATATACTAAGAAAATTATGTGTATGTTTAAAGAATTCTAGACCCATAAATGTCATTGTCCCAGTCTTAAGAT